TCTTCCTAAAACTGTCGAACACGTTTCGTTGAAAATCACCTTCAGAGAGTTCCAATGGTCTTCCACGGATGATTCCTCAGTGGTGCCACGTCGTGTTTCCTGCTTTGCTCTGACAGTTGCAGTGAAAGGTTGTTTAGTTAGATCTCAATTACCCAGTACTGGGACTGTTAGCCTTACTTATTGTGTGGGGGCTAACGATAATATGCAGTTATCCAAGCTGCAGTAGGTGAAGTTGGACTCGAACACCTAGGACCCACTGACTGAATTCGAGTCCCACTCCACACAATGGTTTAGAGATATTAGGACACAACTGTCTTCCAGTATTTTCTCGTCTTTAACAGATATCTGACTTGATACAAACAGATAAGGAAATCTCCCCTCAATAACTTACACTCACGATTTATTTATTTATTTTTTATTTTGATTACAGCTTGATGCCACAGCGTATTTTCAGTACAAGTATGGAATTTTCAGCATGGATATCGGTAGCCCAAATTTACAGGCCGACCATAGATATCGGGTGTGCGGTGGCAGGGGATCGAACCCCGGACCATGTGTATGGTCGGTGAGAGTCCTAACCACTGTGCCACCGACGCACTAATAATAATGTCTGAGGATTGTCTCTGTATATCATACATACTTCATTTTCTTCGTTGTGTATCTCAGTAGTGCAAAATGAAACAAATCTTAGGGAATGAGATATTATTTAAAGAATATACTTTCATCTTATTTTCTGTGTAATTCCAATCCTTTTTGTAGATTTACTCCAATGCATACAAATGTTGTTGTTGTCCAGTTGATTTTATCGTGCCACTTATACCAATGAGCTGTTTTCATTTCATTAAGGAGTGTGCCTCACCTACATACACTCCAGTGAAATAACGTTTCTCAAGTATAGTTCATTGTTGGTTTTGCCTAATAGCAATGCGTATCATTTATGCATATATGTGTAGCCGTTTGCATATGATTATTCTCTCAATCTCAAGCATGTAGTGTTTGTTATTACTGCCTGCAAAATATGCATGTTTTGATTCATTTTCAACTATCTCTTTGCTCTTTACCATTTGACATATCTTTCATAATGATGAAGTGTTTTGTTCTCCCGTCGTTTAGTTTTCTTAGTGAAAGAAAAAACAACAACAACAGTCGATCTCTAATTAAGGTGTGACTTCAACTGCACACTCGATTCATTGTACAGTTGTAAAGGTTTTTTGTTTGAGTCAGTTTTCTTTGCAATCAAACAAAATCCCTACAAAACCGATACTTCGAAATTAATCTGATGCTCACTAGCGACTGGCCCTATTAAGGCAGTTAAGCTGGGGTTCTAATGGGAAGCCGTGACTAGTAGGGTACAGCAGGTCGAAGATGAGGCAGTAACTCATTGAAGAAGACATTGCGAAATGGTCGCGCTATGTCGTGAATTGGCAGAAGTTAGAATTCAAGAAACAGTGGATCGGGTCCTAGCGGCTCAATGGTCCACGAGCTCGCCTTGCAGCCAGAAAGTCCTGGGTTCGAACCCCAGAGGGGGTGTGCTGATGAAGAGCCCCGATCTAGGACGAAACAGCTGTCCAGTACTCCCTGAAAGTTTTGCAGTGGTTCTCTAACTAATGTCAGCTCATGATGAAATCCTCCATGCAATCACTGTTGTTTAAGTGGTGAATTTTCCATACGCAGGATAGAAGTGACTCGATTATCTCCGTGCTGAACTGAGCCCCTTTCCAATAGCATGTATAATATTTCATGCATCCTTGGCATGCTTGTCTTGTATTTTATTTATATGTTAAATCATTAATTAAATTAAAACAAAACACATAGTTCATTTTCACAGCTGTGCAGTCGCAAATATATATGAGTTATTTTGTGTGTATGTGTGCGTACATCAAGGTTGTCAAACAAAAATACAATTGGTCATGGTTATTTTAACTAAACAGGTGAAAATTAATGAGTTTTGGGTGGAGTTACGTAATACAAAATCGGTCAAGGAAATTGGGTGTTAACGAAAATAGAGCAGTAACAAATGTGCTGAGTTGTCACAAACAGTTGTTAACAAGGAGTCACGTAATAATATGAATAGTTTGACGATTAAGCTGTACTCAGGATGCATTGAGAAACAAAGTAGAGGATATGAAATTACGTAAGAGTTCTAAATGAATACAAAAACTGTAAGCAATTAAAGAAACAGACAAACAAACAAAATTAAGTCATCAAAAATCAATAAAGTTGTTACCATGATAATAGAAGTGGTTGAGTAATTCTCTTTTGTATGCACAGCTCCGGTTTTTCTATGTGAATGGCCAGAGCTTCAGCAATACAAAGAAGACGAAACTGTATTGCCTTTTGTAAGCTATTTCTGACTCTGTAGATTACATTGAGGTGGGAGGCGTTTGTTGATATGGAATGGTCAGTGTTAACCAGATGTTCAATTATCGCACTCCTTATTGCAACACTATTGCCTTTTCGCGACCATGCTGGATAGTGTTCTTGAATCCTCTTGGACAGGATGCGCGTCTAACGGCCAATGTACCTGGCTCTGCAGCAGCAGGTGAACTGACATATGCACATAGAAGTGGTCAGGTGCGGGATCTTGTCCTTGAGGCTTCTGCAGATCAGTAGTGGGCGACCGGAGAACACTATTCTTAGCGTTGCTGCAAAGAATATTCTTCTGAAAGATGATATGATGCTTCTCTTGAGAATATCGCTTGTTAAATCTCCTTTGAAATTCAAGTTTATGTAGAGTTTCTTTCTCGGCGCATGTGAAGTTTCATACCTCGAAAATTCTTGGTTTGATATTTTTATCAATCAATCTTGATGGGTATCTATCTTGGATGAAGATTTCTTTCAAGAGATCTAATTATATTTCTAGAACAACGGGCCTAAAGATGCGTTGAATACGATGCATGCGTCCCGAATTAGATCTTTACGTGATTCCTTTTTAACAAGTGTTAGTGACAATTCATCACCTTTGTTTCTGCTCTAGTTTCATTAACACCCGATTTCCTTGACTGTTTTTGTATTAAGTAACTCCACCCAAAACTTACTAATTTTCACCTGTTTAGTTAACAAACTTAATTTACACATACATACAAAATAACCCATATATCCGCGATTGTACAGCTGAAAAGAGACTCTTCGTTGAACTACGTGTTCTGTTTTCATTAATGCCTGGATGGGGATTAGCCATGAATTAAATTAAATTTGCTTACTTGTATTTTAATAGCATTTATAGTTTTTATTGTAGTAGTAGTAGTAGTGTAACAGCAGAAGACAAGAGAATTCGGTAGTGGAATTATTTATAGGCCATTCGATACTCAGATTTGGGTCACTCAAGAGGGTGAAATGGAAGAGGTCGTGTGGGAAGGAGGAGACGAGAAACCATGGGCAGTTGTGGGCCCAGCTAAAGAAGACATCAGGAAATAAGACATTGTGGTGACGTGTTGCTGAAGCCCTATGCTTCACTAGCAACCTAAGGGAACAATAATAATATGTAGTGACGAGTGCCAACCAACACGAAACCTAGGTCGAAAGCTTCCTTCCAATTACCTCCAACCATCTAATATCAACAATTTACAGTTCATCGTAATAGTGAGCCACCTAGTGGCATGGTGGCCACATCACAAACTTGACTGATAGAATTCAGTCTGCGTCAAACAAAGGACTAGACAAATTACACTAGTTACCAGCTGGTATCCAATCAAAATATACCCCTACCATATATTAGACTCACAATTTTCCACATATCTTCAGTATAGTGCTATCTTCGTCTTCCGTTTGGTGCTTCTTTGTCTTCCTTTCATGTTTTCCATCTTGTTACATTAGCACTGTTCATTTCTTCTCTTGGATATTCTTACAGCTGATATACATATTTATATCTATATGTATATACTACTTATAAATCTTGTCAGTAGTACACGACAATAGGACTGGGTCGCTAGACTGTTGTTCATATAATTGATATAGGGATTACAGTCAGAAGATGATCTAGTTAGGCACAAGAGTCTCGTATCTCAATAGACAAATCATCGGACTAGGTTATCTGAAAGTCATTGGTTCTATTCCAGCTGCAACCAAGATTTCCATTTTTGTCTTCATTTGACACCAATTACATTCATAGTTGACTTGTTCCTCCATTTTCTGAATATATCCGTATTATGCGCCTTTTGATGAACTCAGCATCAAATTAGAGGGAAATTCAATGTCATCATACGCACATTTTAAAGGTGAAAGTGTCTTACCACATATTTTCGTATTCACTTTTTTTTGCTTCAACGGCAATATTAATTTAAAACAATTAGTTCCCTTTATGAATTTAGATAAAGCAATAAGAAGACGTAATTTTTCTGAATCGTGTGTGTAATGTATTTGCGCAACACATTTCGAACAATCTGATTACACACGGACTTGTCATAGGAATATGTATGAAATTAATAATGGGTTAAGAGGTGATAAAATAAACTTAGGTCAAGTTAAAAGGACACGTTGAAGGTCAAAATAGCAATGAAGACCACTAAACCAAATAGCAGAGGTAATAATACATCTGTTATGGTATCAAAACAAAATTTACCAAAGAAGGTTTAGTGTGATGACGAATTGATGCTTTGAACGCATAAAGGTGGTTTAAACTTTCTAATTGCTAGGGCTTCCACAAACTTTAGGACACGCCCCAAACACGTTTTATAGACAGGTTTAAAAGATCTGTTAACGTCAATTTTATGTCCTGTCTCTATAATATGTTTTGCAATAGAAGAGCTAGGTCTCCTGTTCTCACCATAAATAAGTTCTGAAGATTCCATTTGTTTCTGGAGCCATTTAGGAATATGCTCTAAAGCCCTTAAAAGCAGAGATCGGTGAGTCCTCCCTATGTATATGTGTCCACACGTGCATTCAAATTGGTAAATACAGTGGGATGTGACGTCATTTTTCGCATGTTCGAAGAGCTTAGGTAGATATTAATTTACTTTTGGTATACAACATTATTTCTTCTGTTCTATTTTACTCCACAGAAAACACATGGAACGATTAAAAATGTTTTTAGAAAATGAAACATGGGAAATATGTCCTGTGAAACGTTCATTCACTGTAATGGATCTTCAGGTATGAAAATGAGAAAAAATTTTGTTTGTTTTTTGTTCTTGATATTTTTATAAAGAGAATTAACTATCTTCTAACTTGATTCTGGCTCCCTATAGGTGTTTTTTCCGTGATATTGATTTTCCCCAAAAGATTACTGTCAAATCGACCATTTCAACATCTACGTTATATAATATATAGAAACTGATGGAGAAGATTTTTAGCTCAGGTGGATGATTCTGATATAGTTGTGTTCTCTGAGATGGATGATTTGCTTGCGAAGCTTTCATTGCTCTACTAGGCAACATCTTCAGCGCATACTTCAATTTCGAATGAGCTTTTCGATTCCTCCACAGGTTTATTTGTCATCTCTTCTGATGGGTGATCTTGATGGTTTGTTTTCGTGTGTTCTTACACCCTCTAGGCTACTTGTATTGGTACTGATTGTTTCCTTGACCCCTGAACTTTGACCCTTTGTACGTGAGATTTCCTTCTTATCGATTGGTATATTTTGTCTATGTCGATGTGTCTATTGATTGACGATTCACTGGAATACCAGACAGGCTTCTAAAAATTCTCTAGCATTCTTGGTGTTTCCTCTGTCTAATATACGAACTTTGTCCCAGTTGAATTGATGTCCGTGGTTGTCTGTATGTAACGACATGACGGAGTGGATGTCATGTCAAAAGACATGATGTTGCCTAGTGGGGCAATTGAAAGCTTCTCAAATAAACCATCCATCTTAGAGAGCACAACTACATCAAAATATCTAGAAACTATTCCAACTAATATTTTTGGGAATCGTTATTAAACTGGTGAGTGGTTTAAGTAGGCTTAATCTTCTTTTCAATCTAATAATTGTATTTTTTGGGAGTGTTGGTGGGGGGTGGGGACTAATTGAGTTACCTTTCGAATCAGCTCACTCAGTGTATATTTATTGAAAAGTCAGTTTTAAATCTAGATTTCATTATGAGATGGAAATTTGATGGAGTTTAGATTCTATGTTGTGCATCAGTGACCCACTGGCGGAATGTTCTCCAGCCACACGGGAGGTTCGGGTTCGATTCCTGATTGATACACTCTAAATCCTCACCCAGTTTACTCGATGGCAGTACTCTTAGATAAGTGAGAAGCTATCCCCTCCCACTTTATAGAAGTAACATCATGGCTGGTGAAACTTTAGAGCGTGAACCACTCGGAATACAATAAAGGGCAAAAGAAAGAGTCTACGCTACTAAAAATGTACTCTGACGGGGGGCCAAGAATAAATTGACCTGCTGGAAGCGTTTTTTTCACCAAGCTTACTTTTGTTTTCATTGAATTCAAAAACAACAATCGAATTAATGAGAAAAAATTATGGATTCATTTCCTAGTTTAATTGGAAAACCAGAATCCATTGATTCTAATCCTGCCAAAGTTCATATTTTCTCTGAAATTCAATCCTTATCCCTTCATTTCTGATGAAATTAATCTGCTTAATCAAGGTCATGTCGTAATAATTATATCAGTAATGATTTCATTATGAGTCATCGGTGATTCATATAGTTTCTGTCTGAAAGGAGAATAAAGTGACTTTAGTGAATTAAGGATTACCTTCTTACTGGGATCGAGTCTTATCGCCTTAGAGTATGCAGATGATATTGTCCTTCGAAGTAAAGACACTAACAGCCTTGAGCAGCAATCTTTGTATAAATTACGTCATCCCTGGAGTACATGGGATATTTGCCTGTTGATCATAGGACCTGTTTACTGCGCAGCAGTACATGATGACTGTGAGACATGACAAGTGAAAGTGAAAGACCTGGACAGCCTATTGGTCTCTGAACACACATGTTTGTGTTAAGTGGTATCATATGGTGAGTAATACCGAGGTGAGGCGTAAAGTGTTAGGTAGGGGAGGTAAGGCAATCGATAAAGTTGTGAAGCTACATACATTGAGATGGTTAGGACACATGTTGTGTATGATTAGTCACCAACTTCTTCATGGAGCAATGTTAGCTAACATAGCATTAGGTTGGGAAAGAGTTTGGTGTGGTCATACTGAAACCCGGCATCAATCTGTGATGTCTTTGATTGTTGGTGTTAGCCACGTAGGGAGGTGTAGATGGTATATTTAGAGTCCCAGAAACACTAAGAATCGCTGGCTGGAGACTGTTGGTGATATGGCTGCAAACCGTTCTCAATGGCACAAATGCCTCCACTCTTCGTAGTATCCCAGATTCCTTAGGTTCCCATGTTTCTTCTTCCAGTGCATTTCTGCTCATTACAGTTATTTTGCTATGTGGAGTGCGGCAACTTGAATTGCTTTAAGATGGAACGTTCAACGTACAATACACTCAATTGTCCCGAGTGGAGGATGTCTTTGTTCAACTATTAGCCCCTTTCAGGACCTCAAAAATTCAGCCTAAGCCCGAAAGCCCGGCTGATAACATCAGTCTTTCGACCGGTTATTTGGTGTTGGCAATCTCGCACTCAGCTCAACTTCATTGTACGAGTCGCTTCCCCACCACAAGGTTGGTGCCGACTGCAACTTCAACATTGAGCCCTATAAATTTGGTCTACCATCCCACAAAGCAACTGTTTGCAAATTTCCCTTGTAATTCGACAACGTTATGTATTTAGTGAGGATGATATGTGTTGTATGAGATATCATGGTCATATTGATAGTAAACATGAATATAAAAGATGAATATTAGTTATAAAACTAAAGTATACAATTTTGCTGCATCTATTTATACTACTTATGTCAATAGTCAGCGACCACTGGGCTCAAGGACAATAATCAATAACCAAAATCACTTGGAAAAAATAACATAATGGGTAAATTATTGTTATGAAGGCATAAACATCAAGTTATGCAGAGTATACAGAGCCAGGAAAAGTACTCTCTTTACTTTACTGGAGATCATTCAAAGGTGGTGTTCTAACTTGACTCAATAAAATTATCCAGTAATTATTAATTGTTGGTGTTCGGTTACGTCACTATAATTAACTTGTAGTTGTATTCTCTTGTTATCGTACATCTAATCAGATTTATTTGTAATATTTATTTCTCGTATATTTGCTTGTTACTGTCGTTTTCTTTAGAAGTGTCTAAGAAAGGCCTAAAACAAAGTACTATTCTTTTCATTTGTAGGAGTTTAGAGCCGTTAAAGATTTATTTGAACAAAATACTGGTAATAATAACAATAATGATAACAGCAGCAACAGCAAGTATACTACAAGTGGAAATCATAAAACTAATCAAGAAAATAATTCAACAAATGTGTAAGTGATAGTTTTTTTCTGTTTTCCTTCGGTTTATTTTGTCCCAATGTAACGACAGAAGGCAAGAGTCAGGCAACAGATCATTTATTAAGGAAACCAACGCATATTTATATATTTCATGTACATTACTATGGATATTTAAACAAACGAACACAGTCTTCCGATTGGTTGTTTCTCACGTAAAGTTAATCTTTCATCTATTTGTGACTGTTTCTTGAATGTCAAATCCTCTATATGTTAACTGCATCCGCCTACGCAAAGTCTGCTGTGGTCGGTTTTGAATCAATCTTTGTTCACATTTTCTCACGACAAATCTTGGGAACGTAAATATTGACGTAAATTACTGTCTACCAATTTGGCTAGTAGACAGCTCTCACCACACCAATATCTCTCCGAAGTGTGGTTACCAGCCATATTCCTAAAAGGGGGAAGAAGCACTCCTCCTGGATTCTATTCATAGCCACCTCGTTCAACCGTCATCGTATCATGGTTAAATTCAATTCGACGTGGGAATAATACTAATAATACAGAATAAATGGGGACACAAATTGTATGGAACAATGTAGTGTAGTCTGTGGATTTCTTCTAAGAAATCCTGAACGCTTATTCAACCCGCCCACCCCCAAATGAAACACGGAATTTGTCTAGAATTCTGTACTATATTAAACATAAAATAATGAAATATAATACACAAACCGCAAATTTTGAGGTGTCTGTGGCTGAATGCCATCGAAAGAACAGTCAGTATGCGTGAGTAAGAAAATCAGCAAAGCTGTGTCAAAGGTGACCCACGTGTAGATTTAAACAGCGCGTGAATGCCAGACAAAGAATAAAGGGATACGAATAAACAATACTTAGAAGTAAAGGATATGCAAATAAGGCATATACAGCAGATAGTGTTCAACTATAAGAAAGTGTTTACTATACATCAGAAATAGGGTGTACATACATTAGGTGAGTTAATCTTCCATAGGGAAGTTATGCTTAAGATGTAGCAAATATGATTTATACTATTTACCAATAATAAGTAGTATAAAGTTGAATACAAAAGAAAGAACAGCAAAGTATATTAATATATATCTGATTCCCGATAAGGTTAACCAGTTGTCATACTTTCTGGTGAAGGAATAGTGCTATTCCCATAACTGCATACATTTTTCCGAACTAATTATCTTTTTATGCTATAGAGTTAGAGTCGATCGGCAGAAAGTCCTCGACCTAAGTATCCTGTCGGTTGGTACTCCTCAGAGAATCCATATCTTTGAAATAACTTATGTCCCCTCTTAGACTGCAATCGGCGTCACCCGTCTCTGTATTTAGAGACGTTAACAATGAGCTGTTTCTGCTCACGAGTTGCCTCCTGTAGGTCTGTGGTGGACAGACTGATTCGTCGCTAGGTAATCACCACTGTCATACCTCTCGTCCCTGGTATTGGCGCAAACTGAATCTTATCGGTCGATTTTGCAGTATGATCACCAAGTTAGGATTGGCTCCTCATCGCGGCTCACTGTGAATGGTTTTTACATGGTTAGAGGAAGTCGGCAGTGAACTCTTCACTTATCATTTTTGTTCATCACATAGTCACTCCACAGTGAAATGCAAACTTCAAAGCACAAGTGGAATAAAAAATGAACTTTTTCTCCGTTAAAATAGCAGAAAAGAAGTGGTGCAGGCTGGTGGAAGTCTTTAGGAAGTCAGTTGAATGGTTCGCCTTGTTTTGGTGAAAACGAAAGTAATCATGGAGACACAAGAAAAGCAAACCTCTTTGAGCTATTCTCGATATGACGAATTCATCTTATCATGGCGCTCCCAATGGTTAGCAGATCTACTAGAATCAATCAGAAGACAAGTTTCCTGCCACTCACTTCGAGATTCCTTCAACTTTGTCAACTCCATTGAAAACGTCAATGTTTCTTATCAGACCATATTCTCACTAGATGTGTTATTACTGTTTATGAACGTCCCACTAGCTGAAACAGTATGCTAAATATGCGAAAATATTGATTCAAAAGGGATAAACATTGGTGTACCCACAGACTATATGAAGGAACTCCTATTGAGATGCAATAATCAAATATGCCAACAGAAAGATGGCATAGCTGTGGGCTCACCACTGGGCCTATTGCTTGCAGATTTTTTCATGTCAAAACTAGAAGATACACACCTATAGACAATTGACAGCTTTGGGTTTTACAAAAAATACGTGAAAGATACTTTCATTATCTCCAATAACGAAGAGAATTTGCAGAACATTCTAAACTTTTTCAACAGCTGCCATCCTACAATTCAGTTCACACTAGAGAAGGAGTCTGACAAAAAAGTGACTTTTCTGGACGTTCAATGAACAAGACGTGAACAAGATAGAATACTAGAAAGATCCATCCATAGAAAGCTGATATGGGACGGAAAACTCACTAACTTTCATAGGTGGGTGCCTCTATTTACAAAACGAAACCTGATCCATTCACTGAGCCACAGAACTCGCAGCCGTGACACTGTGGAAGAAAAGCTGAGCATTCTGCAAAGAATCCTCCTTGAAAGTTGTTACACAGAATGACTTATCACAAAATCCATGAAGCCTAAGCCAATAAAACTGCCTAGAATTTATGCTCTCAAAAGACTTCTTACCTAAATATTCAATTCAATGGAGACTCATCATCAGAAAAGCTTAGGAACCTCCTGTCTTGCTCATTGAAGAAAACCTTCTCTGTGGCTGAATTTCAAATGGCTTTCTCCATAAAACCAATGATTCGCATGAGCTTGAAGGATAAGCTACCACTGCTGACCTTATTAATGTGCATCTATCGAATCACCCGCTAGTGTGGAGCAAGGTATGTCGGCCGTACCCAGCATTTGCTAACCGAATGAATCATCGCACACTTACCCTAATAGTTTTATGAAGCAGAGAAAAGATACCCCCACAGCTCTATCCTGGAACACCTTACCGAATGTGGACACTAACCTAACCTACAAAGAAACTTCAAACATATCTATGGAATAGGTGGGAATCTTGCTAAAAGACTACGAATCACAATTCTTCAAACCGCGAAAGCAATGCCAATTCACATGGAAGAGAGCCGATAGAGCAGAAATTATGTACAGTGTGTCCTTTTCTGACATTTAGCAAAAGCTGTAGAAATTTATTGTTTAGAACTCTACATTTCATCAACAACAGATTGCTTCGGTTGATATTCAAAGTTAAATGGCTGGCTTAAAAGAATAAGCCACAAAAGACTCTGACACATGACGAATCAGGTGAAAACCTTTTGCCCAATAAATATGTAGTAGAAAATGGAGATGAATTGGACTCACACTCCGTGTAAGATCAATTCAAATCCCATCCTTGAATCAGGTCAACCTGTCCCGGATCAGCCTAGCGTTGTTGCAACCTAATTATCCATGCCTAACGTGTCTATCTCCCCTTGTTTAATCAACTGTGTGTGTTTTTTACACCGATCCGTCCAGTCAGACCATTGAACTCATGACCCAATCAGAGTATTTTGTGAACTGTTATTTTTGCTGACCCATGTCTTACTTTGTACTATTCTGTCGAGTTTATCTTATTTATTGATCTTCATCTGTATCAGCCTACCTGGTTAAGTAGCCAATTAAATTCTATCTTTGTGCCTATGCTCTGTCTATCTCTTAACCGCTCTCTGTTCTATGCCTTGCCTTACTTGGGTTCATTCTTCTATTGACTGCTTACCTGAACGGTCGTGTCTGATTCCGGCTAGTTCGCAATTTCGGCTTTAACGTTATTCCGCTCTGATAGCGGTACCTTGCTTTCTGTTAAGCGTTGTGCTTTGTACTGTTGAAAACGTTAAGGTTTGTTGTATATATAATTATTGATTTGTTTATTAATGGTACTGTAGAAACAATGACCGGCTTCTTGTTTGTTCTGGACAGGGATAGCCTTTATCTACGCGTGACTTAATTTCAAGCGATTTGGCGCTTACAGTATTTAACGTCAAACAGAAAAGACCGTACTGAACTGGTCAGTACTGAACGTTCATCCAGAAGAAACTGTGGTGAATTGGCAGCACGCAACGTTGTTGAAAATACATTTTCTTTGGAACAATGCAAACCAGATCAGGGAAGCGAATTTCGGAGCAGCAGTCGGAGAGTCGGCAAGTCCCCGTTTGTATAAATGATCATGTTGATAATCTTTCGTGTCCCGGCTCTCATGTCAGTAGTTCGATATCATCATTATCGCGAGTAACTAGTGCTAAGTCATCGCTACTAAGGGCGCAGCTAAAAGAGAAACAGCTTCGATAGGAGTTAGAGTTAGAGAAAAAGTTGCTAAAGGCTAGACATGATGTCGAAATGGCCAAGCTGCATGTGAAGTTAGCCGCGGACGACGAACGGAACATTGAGGAATATGAAAGAGGCAGTGTCATTGATAACCGGGAGCAACTAGAACGATATGTGAAAGATTGTGCCGCAATGGTTGGCAGGGACGCTACTGTTACGATCGGAAAGAGCGCGGTCGTAGAGAAACTTGACATGCCTAAGGTTGAAATGTCCTATTTTGATTGCAACTGTACTGACTACTTGAGATTTACCAAGGGATTCGAATATTATGTCGAGAATTGAGTAAAGGACCCTGGTCAAAGAATGCTATATCTGTTGCACTATTGTAAGGGTCGAGCTAAAGCAGCCATACATGAATGCGTGATCTTGCGTCCTGAGAGTGCGTATGCGCGAGCTAAGGGTATCTTACAGGATCTGTTTGGAGAGATCCACTTCATCGCACGAAACCGTATTGAAGATATGATTAGAAGCCTACGACCTGTGGCAGAAGATGGAGAAGCTCTATCCCGTCTATCGATACAGCTTCAGAATTGCCTGATTGCCCTAACTGAAATGAACTATTTGTCGGACTTAAATTCCGTAACAACTCTCCAGAGAATAGTACGCATACTGACGATAGCAGTTCGAAGGAATTGGGCCAGACTAGCAGACGCAAGGAATCAAGAAGGGCAAGAGCCATCTTTTCAGGA